GTTGTTAACTAAAGCCCAACTTACTTTTTCACCATCATTTTAAAGGTAACTAGTTTAAAATGGCCTTCATTAGGTATAGGGCTGGAAAGTTGGTAGCTTCGTACTTTGTCATGTGGAAAATCTCTTCCCACCACCAAGAGAAGCCCTATATAAACAAGTTTCACCTGTCCTGTCTAGAACACCTGCAATTTCCCCCTTAAAAAAATCTCCCTCTACAAAGTTCATCATCTCATTTTAACGATGTATGAGATTTATGTCTGTTTTTGATCAGGATTCTACCCAGGTTGCACCTTCTGGATCACCATATTTTTTCAAATGGCATCACCTTTTAAACCAAACTGCTGTTTACAAGGTGATGCCTTTTGGGAAAATGTGGGTGGAAATAACCATGGATTTGCATGTAAAAAAGAATAAGCTCACAGTCTGATATGGGCTTCAGTATGAATGAGCTCTGAGGTGGAATGTGGAGAACTTTGGCAAGCTTTGATTTGCATATCTCTACCTCACTCCAATTTCAATGTAATCTTGGCTGCTTTATGTCAAATGGCCACACCACAGGTTATTTTTAAAATGCAAGGTATTTGCATTTGGTTACCAGCCAGCATGGATGCTGCCCCTTTGAGCACTTACTATTTACAATTTTGAAGTTGCTCAGTGAATTTATTCTCTTGATTTCTTGGTCTCCTAACAATCTTGTGAGTAGATTAGCATGAATCTTAGTTTTCCAAATAGGGGACTAAGCAAGACTACCTAATATGTCTGTGGCAGAGGTGAGAGTTAGACACCCATCTCCCACTGGAAAGCAGTAACCATAATGCCAGCAGTATAGGATTTATTTATTTAAAACTTTTTAGATGGTCCCTTACTGTGATCTTGGGATGGTTTAACAATAAGACAGGATAGAATAAAAACAGCATCCTAGATTTTACATGTGTTCAGGAGGAGAAATTGCATATGCAGAGGAATTTGGCTTTTATAGGTGGCATTGTCTCACATGTACCAGAATGGAGTCAGAATGTTTAAATTACTTTGGGAGAAGCACCCATGCCCACCAATATGCACAAAAATTAAGTGAACTACATTAATTTTGCTGGAGCTCAAACCAGTTTCTCCACATTTTTTCAGATTACAATTTCTACTCTTTATTCAGCACATATCAGCCTATTTTAGTTATAAAAGCCCTAAAGCAAGCACCAGTTTTATTGGGGATATATGACTGCCAACATTTGTATAGCTATAAAGAATAGCTTATAGTGGAGGCCTCTGCCAGTGTTTACTCTGACTACCAATTCTGGCCAGCCAAACATTGTAAATTCTTCATACTTCTTTTTCCAAACAGAATATCAAAACAGTTTAAAAACTAGCCACAAAATACATTTCATATCAATATCCTACACTATTTTAATTTCATTTTACAATGCAACTCTAGAGACCATTATTTAAGTGTGAGAACAATAACTAGTGAATTGTATTTTTGTTCTCTCATAAAGGCTGTTTCTTGATCTGATTTCCTTTTTGACTTCTGCCTTCTCTACTTGCTTTGTTTCTCTATGTCCTGAAACTGAAATTTTTGCGAGATGGTATGAAAGTGGTTCTGAAGCAAACACCCATACATTAATTTGAAAATTAACCCATTCATTTTGAAGAAATCTAAAAGTATAAGTTTTGTAATGACAAGATCAACCTTCAACTGAGATATGTGTAGTACTTAAGTGCGGGCTGAAAATATAATGCTTCATTTAACACTCATATCTCAATACATGTTAGAAGAGAATACATTGACTACAAAACAAGAAAGGAGCAAAAGTGCCCATTTAGCTCAACAATTTTATTATTCATTCTTTTCTCTGCAAAGCCCAGGACACTACCCTTGAGAAGGCTACCTCACTTGGTTTAGTGAGGCAACTATCATAAGAACATGGCCTGGGTTCCCTATGGCTCCATCAGATGGGATTCTAAAATTAGTGAATTAGCCCCACAATTGTGTTTGTGCAATCAGAGTAACTTTTCTGAATTTGGGGGGGGGGTTACTTTTTCATGCAGCCAATTTCTAAGCTGGAAACATCCTTCTGTGATTGGAAGAGGCTTTCTGCTAGGAGGAAAAAAAATGTATCCAATTGCTGTCATAAGCTGTCTTGGGCTGAAGCAACTATCTGTACCATTTACCTGTCAGTAAATCTACTGAACACAAAGAATCACTTTAAAGGAAGCAAGTAAACTTACAACCAGGTTGTTAGTTGCTCTTCGTTTGTGATTGGGTTTGGAATACTAAGGCCCATGAATGTTATCTAGTTTGATTTTTCTGTACCAGCCCATTTCTCACTGACTGCTGCTCTCTCTCGAAATTGTGCCGCAATGGGTACTGAGGCCAATGAAACCTACTGGGGCCATCTAGAGAGAGAGAGGCAGTAGCTGTAGAACTTCCACTTCTGAACGGATCACTCACTCCACCCTAGGCCCAATCCTCCCTCTTGTGCTCCCAACAAAGATAGATTGAGTAAACAGGCAGAGCTTCCCACAGTCAGGTGGCAGGACAGCAAAGGCAAAAGTGGTGGTGACTTCCTTCAGACCTTGCTTGCCTAATCCTTCAAGCTTTAGGGCTACAAGTAAGAGTGTTGTGGGTGGGAAGCCACTGTAGAAGGCAGTGTTTGCTTCTGCGAGGAACTGCCACCTCCTCACCTCATTTGCTCAGGTTGGGGCTGGGTGGATCTGGCCCATTTCCTGTTGCTATACCACCCAGATGTGCTCACCCAGATGTACGTGATGAATCACTGCTGCCTCTCGCTGGGTTGTCCTCTGTCTCTTGACAGCCTGGGAGGGCAAGTGAGGGGCGCCCACTGTGGCTGCCCGTCACTTGCCTGCTGACTTCCGCAAACAGCCTTGCCCTCCTTCCTTAGCCTGTCTTCTGGAGAAGAAACAGACCCTGTCTTCCTTGGTGGGCAGCAGTAATCTGTGTTTCTGTACACCACTCGCTGGGGAAATGGGTGGCGGAATGCATTTGCCCTCATGTCCTACTTGCTGGTTTTCTACTTGCCGCTGGTTGGCCACCATGTGATGGGCCTTTGGCTGAATCCAGCAAGGCACCTCTTATGTTCTTTCTGTCTGGATGGTGTAGCATGAAAAGCCAAGCTTCCTGTCTCCAGTTCACCCTGCAAAGCCACCCTTCTTCTGGGCCAGTAGAGTCCTCCCTCCATGTGTCCCAGGGCAAAGGGTGCTTCCAGACTGACTGCTCCAAGTATTCTCAGGCAACAGCCATTATTAAGCTGTTCTGTCTTTCTCTCCTGAATGGATGTTTTGGGTGCTTTCCAACAAGGCCTTGCTGGTGCTGGTGCTGGGCCTTATTCACAGAAATTAAAAGCGGTGGTAGTTATTAGCAATCCTCCAGGGTTTCCCCACCAGATGAGGTGCTTCCAGAGAAAGCTTTTATTCTGCTCTTGCTTTACTTCATTTACCGTATTTTACTGGGGATCCGCATGACTGTCTTCCAGTCATAATCCTTCCACTTGAACCCCATCTTGTTGATAACATCTGAAACACCATTAAGAAAAGAAAGAGGGCATTTCCACGCAAGGCCCTCTGATCAGTTGCACTAGCAACCCATCCTCTGGAAGCATCCCAGTTTTGGTCTTTATCTTCCCCAGGTGCGTAAGGCAAGGTGAATACCTAGCTGCACAAGCGTCTTTGGCGAGGCAGCGCTAGGAGTCCTCTGTCTGGAAGCACCCACGGTTGTGGAAGTTTTAAAAAAGGGCAGAAGCAGCAGTGGGACCATGGGGGAAAGTTAGCAATGGAAGCCGCCGTCCTTCTCGTGGCCTGGAGCACAGGCACGCTCGGTTGCATGAATGAAGCTGGGCGCCTGCACAATGACAGCCCTGCGAGACACCCGCTCAGCTCCTGCAAGAAGCCGTCTCTGCCCCACTCGCGCGTCCTTGCCCAAGAGCCTGGAGAGGCTGCGTTGGCCGCAGCAGGGCGAAGAGCAGCGCGGCCCCAGGGCGGCTGGCGAGGTCTCTCCCTGACCTGGGACCGGCGCTGCGCTCGGCCGGCGACACCTGGTCTGCGGCCCGTCGCGCCGGCGCATCTGCTGCGCCCGTCCTGGCGCGGAGCCGGAGCCGGAGCCGGAGCCGGAGCCCTCCGGGGCAGCGCAGCGCAGCGCAGCCGCGGCCGCCCCTGCCTGCAACCCCGCGCGAAGGCAGCCGGCTCGCTCTCTCTCGCGCTCGCGCTCGCTCTGCCGCTCGGCGCGGGCGCGCCCGCCCTGCCTGCCTGCCCCACCGAGGGGGCGGGGCCACGGCAAGTTTCCTTGAGGGGGAGCGCTGCAGCCGCGGAGGCGCGCGCTGCTGGGGCTGGATGGGAGCTTCGCGGCGGGGTCGGCGAGGGCGAGAGCGAGGGCGAGAGCGAGGCGTCCCTCCTGCCCGCGGCCAGGGGCGTGCTGGGCGCTCGGCAGCCTCGGACGCTGCCCACATGTCGCGGCCGCCGCCGCCGCCGCCTCCTGCTGCTCCAGCTGCTCCAGCTGCTGGCGCTTAGTCGCGTCCGGAGGAGACGCCGAGGAGAGCTCGGCTGGAGCTCGCGTCTGCGCCCCGCGCTGCGCTCTCCCTGACGGGGCGGCCCCTGGGATGCCCGGGGATCTCGCTCGCGCGCCCCCTCGGGATACGGACAGGGCAGAGGCGGCCCCCTTTGCGCGCCGGACTGGCCTGAGGCAGCTTTGCTCGCGCAGCTGATGCGGACCCAGCGAAAGGGTCCGCAAGTGAACGCGTCGTTCCAGACTCTCGCCTGTGCGCCTGGTCTTAAAATCTCTCCCGATCTTAACGATACTTCGGAGTTTGTGTGTGTTTGCTTTTTCTTTGGGTCGTTTCCTTGGACGGGCTACTCCGGTGACGTCGAGGGGCTTCTAGGAGGAAACCTTCGGGGCTGCGAGACGGACAGTTCGCCTTCGCTCCGGCAGCCTCGGGCGAGAGGGGACCGAAAAGTTCGGAGCTGGGGGGACCGCGAGCGCCCCTGCTCCCCGTCCTTTGTTTCCCCGAGCCCCTATTTGGTCCGATCGTCTAACGATGGCAACAGAAGTGGTGTGTGGATTGATCTTTAGACTACTACTTCCCATCTGTCTAGTCACTGGTATGTGAAGTCTGTCTTACTAGGATGTGGTGGTGTCAGTGGGTGGTTTTTTCTTCTTTTTTTGAGTGGGGGGGGTGTCGTGGTGGAATACAGGTAATCTAGGAAGCCTTCTTCCATTCAGTACAAGTAGGTCGTCTTGAACTGTCTTCGGAACTGAAGCACCTTTCCTAGATTGGGATATTTTTTCTCTTTAAATCTTTGGCACCTCTAGTGATGAATGCTTTAACTTTTCTGTCCCTATCCCGGGTGGTTTCTGTGTACATTCCATGTATTTAAAAACCATTTTAGTGTCGTGGCCTTCACATTTATTTTCCTTCAACCTTTTCATATTTAACTCACCTAACCTGATTGAAATATTGCACTCTCTTTATATGAGATGTGCTAATGCATTTCCAAAATGTATTTACAATGCAGTGCTATGCACATCTCAAAGCAGCGCACTGAGTTCAGTGGGACTTACTGTCAGGTAGGGAGGGGGCACGATTCATAGTATCCTAATGTTGGGTGCAAGATCTCAGTCTTTTAAGTTGTCATTACAGCATTCTGTACCTGTCTGCTTAAAAGTAATTCCATTCAGTTTAATAGGTTTACTCCTGGGTAAGCAGGTTTAGCATTGTAGACAAAATCTGTGCCAGATTAAACATGATTTGCTGAATATTCCCTTAGTCTAAAGTTTACCTGTACAGTTACTTACTAAGGAAGAAGGAAGTGGAACCAAAATACAATTCCTGGCATTGAACTTTATTGTGTCTGAAAAGAACATAATTAATTGTTTTAAGACTGCACCTGAAAAATGGCCTTTATATGGAATGATACTTGACATCTGTTCTTTATTTCCTTTTAACTGAATTTTTTTCAGAGTTGTGTTTTAGATGAAGGAAAAGTTGGCTTTCCTGGTTCTAATATTAGGTGTATCACTGAGGTGCAATTACTTCTAGACTGTCAAGCCATTAGTTGTGACTAATATTAATTTGTGTCTGACTTTCTGAAAAAGCAGGAAATGGAATAAATGGAGAGATTATTTTGTCTTTTTATACTGCAATTCTAAGCACACTCATTAGGAGAGTAAGATCCATTGAACCTAGTGGGACTTACCTTTGTGTAAATATGCTTAGGATTGTAGTGCATATATTTAAGCACTGAAGTGTGCTATGCAAGGGAATGAGAGGAATGACTCAAGTAACAGCTGGAAGATCCGTTTACAAATGTCTAGAAGTATTTATTCTATCCAGCTGATTCAGGCAAAACTTTATTTAAGTAAAACTGAAATACCTCCAGGGTATTTCATACAATACAGAAAATGCATTAGGAATGCATGTTCCAAGAGTTAAGATCATGTTGCGTGAGTCTAGATATTCAGCTGCACTTTCACACACGAAACACTGATGTTTGTTGCAGATGAAGCTGAAATTGGTTTCCTATGCTTGGTTCTTGCCTTCTTATTTACCAGTTATGATTCAAGATGCTTGTGGACTAACCAGTATTGACTGTGATGTAAAGGTTGTGTGGGCACATTCCATGAACCTGGAACTGTGTAATTATAAAACTGGTTGAGATATGCAATTCGGTTTTGAATTAGGTACGTGGCTCACATAATACTGATTTCCATTTTGATTAAGAAATCTGTATACTTTTCTTTCCAAAAAGTATCTTCTGAGAACTGAGGAAATGAACTTCTTTTAAGACACATACAAGCTCACCTTTCATTCCAGTGTCCCCCAAACCAGTTGCTTCTCTTTACTTTGGATGTAAATGTTTGCAGATGTGATAGAACACGAAATATCTTGTGCCACCATTGGACTTCATAGTTTATTTCATAGAATTTTCTTACAGTGGATGATACTGAAGGCATCTACGTTTCTGTTTGAAAAGAATGTTTCATCTTTTGCAGAAAGATTAATCATCTTAGCCCAGTGTCCCACGATCTTTCTGTGGGTTCACTCTACATAGGATCATAAATGGTCAAGTGGGACATGGCAACCTGGTAGCTAGCTTGCTTAAAGCACAGTTAGGAGCCCTGGAAATGCTGCTTTCAACATTGGACAATCTTAAAACATTACTCCTTTTACCTCTGATATGTTCAGATCTGATCACTGATTTCCTCTCAGTGATCTCAGTGTCCTCAGTGCAGACAGGACTAAATACCGTTATCATTCAGACATGGTTTCAGCTGGCTAGTTTACAGTCAGTGTCATGGACTCTGAACCTTCAGTTTTGTAAGAGCAAGAATGCTATCTGGTATTTTCGCACAAGAGAGATCAGTATCTGGCTATTGCCTATTGTAGATCAAATTTCCCCATACAAGACCTACATATAATAAAAGAAGGTAGATGCTGTTGGTACAAGAATAGGGAAGTCTAGGTCCTCATCATAACTTGAGCAAGCACAGGAGAGCCATTTTATTTGAGTCAAGACTGTGCTCAGGAGTGACTTGGCTAAATGCACCCCTGAGGTAGAGCTCCTTCGACAATCACTTTGTTTCTTGTGTCCACAGCCAGGATCGCAACCTCTTCTCCTTCAGACAAAGGGTTTGAAATTCTGATGATCTGGTCCTCATTAAAAACTCCTTCCTAATTATTCTCTTTGCTGGTGGAACCTATCCCAAATAATAAAGGCTTTCAACATCTCAGGCAGCTAGATGAGATTGTCAAGGCCATCCCCCAGGTTTCAGTGCTTTTATGCTCCCCAAGTACTTCTAAATCAAGTTTCCACGTTTTCCCCATCACTCATACATAAACGCTGGAGGCTACCCAAGGCTGCCTGCTATTAGGTTTGGACTTAATTGTAATTGTTGTTTTATTTATTTGATATCTGGGAAATGTTGCCCGAAGTACTCCTAAAGAAATAGTTCATCTTGAAAAGGCACTTAGCTTTACATGTGTGCTTTCCTCTCTAGTAAAAGACACGTAACACCTGCGCAGACATAATCCTCCAGTTGATTTCTTCCTCTCCGTTTTCATTTCTGAAACACTCCAATGTCTTTTGGCATTGTAATGTGCAAGCAACAACATATTTTGCGATATCAGCATCTTGCAGGAGTGAAATATAGCCCTGCCGAAGTTTTATGTATGCGCACACACTGCTGCTGTTATGAAGCAAGTAGTAGGTATGGCTTCAAACATGTTGGATGGTCTCACTTCCAAAGATATCACTCTCTTTATGTCAGGGATGGGGGTGTCAGTCTACAACTCCTGTTCACCTTAATCAGCTCAGTCAGTTGCAAGGCATGATGGGAGTTGTAGTCAGCATCATCCAGAGGGCCACAGGTTCCTTATTCCTGCTATATTGTGGTGGTTCCAGTTTGCATGCAGCAATCATCTCAGTCTTGCATTCACCTGGGCAGACCTGCTCCTTCCAGAATGCCAGATCCACTCTTGAATCCACCCCATGACATGCTGTGGAGTGGCCAAGTTGATTTACCTCTGATTATATTGTCAGATTACATATTTAGAAGAAGCAATTCTTTCTTGAGTAGATCTGGGGGAATAAAAAGGAGATTGTAATTGGAACGATGTAAGCTCAGATGGCTGCTCTGGACATACGTTGGCAAAGCTGTTTTGCATAAACAATCTCCTTGTGAGTCTGGAAATAAGTTCTCTTGAGAGCCTTGTTGATTGTAGTTGCTCTCTTAGTTCATATAGTTTCTTGACATGATACTGCACATTTGGTTTTTATCTTAATGAGACAAGGATGGGCCTCATTCCTATATAGGAATTGGTAATGAGAGGCAGCTGGCTACTCTGTAGAACAATGTATGCACCCAAAAGGTTTAAATGGTAAATTCTTTTTATGCTGTGGGACTATAAACAATTTTTTGTTTCTGGTGGCACACTTAAATGTATGGCAGAACACTCTCCAATCAAGTTAAAGCCAAAGTATTTCGACAGATACTGGTTTAGTCCCATGGTTATTATGGAGAATGGTCGATTCTAAGGCACGTGGCACAAGCAGAACCTCAGTTGCCCCTCATGGTTTTAAGTTGACCTCCCAGAGCATAAAGACTTTGCTTGAACCTTTGTTTTAGAAGGGCCTTCAAAGGGTTGCATGCATTGGGTGCTGGAGGAGGCAGAGGCTTAATCCTTGCTGTGTTGAAGGAGGTGAGTTGCCAATTAAAAAATAATCTCAATCTAAAAGAGAGTGTGACAAAATGTTTATCTTATCTGCTAGAAGGGAATTGCAAGAGACATGAGCAGACAAAAAACTATGGGGTGGGTTAAGAACAAGGAGCTGCATCTAAAATAAATCTAACAAAGTCACTTAGGAATATCATTGTTATATGCCCTAAAAGCACCAGCTGCGTTATGCTGTGACTTAGTACTTTACTGTTAATGGCTAATTCGTTTAATAACTCTTACCATTGTGACTAATGGTATTGTGTATGTTCAATATCACATAGTTCAAACTAGCCAACATAGAGTGATGGTGAAAGACCTTGTTTTTTTCTTTCATGGGTACAGGTTTTGAGTTTTGATTGGTTGTTTTTGTTTTTTTTTAAGATGGAGCAGTAGATTCAATGGACCTCTAACCTCATTTTCTATCAAACTTGAACATTCTATTCTATTCAGTATTTTTAATATTACAATTGTCATTACATTTTGAGGCAAAATTGGAGCTGTTTGCTCAGGCAAAGCATCTTGAGAAATTTTGAGGTAAGCAAAGAGAGTTCTTATGAAACTAGCATTTATTAGGAGAATTCTGCATGTCCTCAACTAAAGCAGATCAATATTGCGGCAGAAAAGATCATGCAGTTGAGGCCATTGTACATTGGGCAGTACAACTTCTGATGAGCCTTACTCACATGGATGTGAAAACATGGTGGAAGTGGGAGCTGTGTGTTGTGAGAAGGAGACAGATGTCTTGACTCCCTTTCATCTGTTGGGCTGAATTGGCCCAACAACCCTAACTGAACCAGACCAAATTGTTCTTTGGAGTCCTTGTTGTCCAGCTCATACCAGCTTAAGAAATTGGCTTTTATGACCAAACTCCTTATGTGGAAAGTA